GTAAGTTTGATATCAGAGACAATGTCAGGACGTGCTATTTCAGGACTCCGTAAAACTTCCACGAGGTCTGATACATTTCTATTCTGCGTTTTTCCAAGCATTTCGAACAGCTTACTGGTGGGGCTTCCATTGTCCCTTTTGTATTCGATCTTTAAGTATCGAAGATCGTCTTTGTCTATGTGAAACGCTTCGCCTACTTTTTGCCAGCCATAGAACCGTTGACCCGGGCAGCGTACATCCAATTTCTTTATTAAGAATTCTTCAAAATGAAAAGGTAGATCAGCCAGGTTGAGATCTGAAAGATTGAAAAGTTAAGCGTCGATATCAGGACGAGTCAAAATGGCTCATTAGTATTTAATGATAAAAATACAATACGATACAATTCAATACTTTATATAACGTTGAAACGGACTCTAGGGCCCCGTCCACACGTATGCGGGTATTTTTCAATCCGCAACTTTTTCTCACTGGATTAAAAAGTTTCGACTTTCACACGTATCCGGATTCAAATCGAATTTGCCCCTCCACACGTATCCGACACGTATCCGGATTCACTGTTGTACCCAGGACTTCTCTGGGAATATTGGCCACACAGCATGCGTCGTTTTGCGCGCGAAATGTGCATCTTGCCTCTGCCTTGAAAGAAACTGGGAACGAAGTTACCATCTTGAATACAGTATTCACGGTAAAGAACTGGGCTCGATCTTATTACGTCACCGGATTAATTGGCGTCCACACAATTCCGGATTCATAGCGTATTCAAAAATTTCCACTCTGGAGAGGGGATTCAAAAAATTGCGTATTCGTGTGCTGGATTCGCCGAATACGTGTTGACAGAAACCGTAACCGGAAAGAAAAAGTTGCGGATTAAAAACTATCTGAATACGAGTAAAGGGGACCTAACTATATGGTTTACGGTACCTGTGTTGCAGCAAGTGACGTAACTCCCGGGTAATTTTATCCAATCGGAAGTCATTATTCACTTGAACGTGGGTGCATGGTACAACACCCAGCACCGTTTTTAAAGTCGAAAAACCTGCACCAGCTACTTTACAGGTGTGCCGTAACAGAAATTAATAAATAAAATTAGCGATAAAATAGCAATAACAATTTCTTTTCGTCATTATGCTAATTATTCGAGACTCGAAGCTACATTCTTCGCATAATGTTGTTTACGGTTAGTCCTGATAATGGCGTTAAGATGACGCCGAAACGTCGACTTTTTACGCTCTTATCTACTTTTTTCTGTTTGACCAAATCATTGTTTATCAGAATTTCTGTTTGTGTAATAATAATATAATTATTTTAAACTTCCCTTGAAGCACTTCTCATATAACCAGTTGTTACTTGATTACCTCACAACTGAGCTGCTACTTACTCGAGTTGACCTCAAATTTTATGCTCACTCTGTGGCGCCTGAGTTTTTTTCTTCTTTGCAGGATGAAATAATTACCAATGGAGTACACGAGAGATAAAATATGAGGCCTTAGGGTACACCCCAAAATAATTCCCATTGCAAAAGTTACATAAACGAGAGGAAGCAACTGCTCTTTTGTCCAGTGATACATTACGTCATTTTCTTGTGTTGGGTCAGGTCTTGATTCCGGTGACGATGCATCACGAGGTGTCACTTTGAAGGAGGCCTTTGTTCTCCTTTTGATAGCATTGTTGCGATGATGAACGTAAGTGGCAGTCTTTCTTTTGGCATCTCGAATGGAATTTGCCTTTTTAAGGCCTGATATATTAGGATCGGTGTGTTCTTTGCTATCAAACAAATACACTTGCGTATCAGCATGAGGATCCCATGCAAATAATTCTTTACTCGGTATTTCGATCATGTTTTTCACAGCGTTTCTTGTTCCACTTTCATTGGCTGAAGGTTTGTCCTGTTCAGGTACTTTTTTTCTTTTTTTCAGTTTTTTGGAAATCTTCTTTTTCCTTCTTGTCAAAGTTTCCTTTTCAGAATCATTTCGAAGTAAAGTAGCCAGACGGCACCTGGATAAACCTTGCTCGGTGTCATTCCCACAAATATAATCGTTCTCCATTAGTTTTTCCATCCCCAGTTCCTGTCTCGGTATTTCCTGCTGCACAGAAGTGAAGCCGTAGAGCTGGCCCTGGAAAAAGAAATTAGAGATCATCAATCATTAAACTGAAAAAGTGATGACGGTTACCTTAAGCCACCTATGGAAGAGGTTAACCGGGTTCGTTGCCCAAGTTCTCCACCAAAATATGCTGGGGTTGTTCGAGCAACTCGTTTGCTAAGCGAGAAGGCACCAATAGTCTTCTTTTACAACTTTGTCTTCGCTTCTTTATTCTTCTTTAACTCCTGCCACCCTCTACTTACCCTACCACTAGCAAGCCGAATATTAGAGACTCAAGCCAAACTACTCTGCTAATCTTTAGTTTAAGTAAAGGTGATGCAAGTATATAATTTAAAAACGTTTGAATCCTGAAAATGGGCGGAAGCTTTAATACATATGCATGTATTGTGGTTTGGGAATATTTTGAATGAAAACAATCATCTGCGTAATAATGTATAGTTCCTTTTCTACACCTGAGTCACAAAAAAGAATGCCGGAATCGGATAAGTTGCCTGTTGACTAAACTAAATCGCTTTCCGGTGATTAAGGGATAAACCCTGGGCCCGAGATTGCTTTGGTCTAACATGCATGTGCCAACCTTTCTGACAGCAGTGCGAGGCAAGAAAAAGGGCTCGTCTGGTCGAGGGTAGACTACGAGTAGTCCCCCATTTTTCCTCAGGGATAGTAGAGCTAGCAAAACGCGAGCGCGCGTGAAAATCAACCCACGCGAGAAAAGGCGACACGCCTCGTGTCGCCTTTTCTCGCGTGGGTTGATTTTCACGCGCGCTCGCGTTTTGCTAGCTCTACTATCCCTGAGGAAAAATGGGGGACTACTCGTAGTCTACCCTCGACCAGACGAGCCCTTTTTCTTGCCTCGCACTGCTGTCAGAAAGGTTGGCACATGCATGTTAGACCAAAGCAATCTCGGGCCCAGGGTTTATCCCTTAATCACCGGAAAGCGATTTAGTTTAGTCAACAGGCAACTTATCCGATTCCGGCATTCTTTTTTGTGACTCAGGTGTAGAAAAGGAACTATACATTATTACGCAGATGATTGTTTTCATTCAAAATATTCCCAAACCACAATACATGCATATGTATTAAAGCTTCCGCCCATTTTCAGGATTCAAACGTTTTTAAATTATATACTTGCATCACCTTTACTTAAACTAAAGATTAGCAGAGTAGTTTGGCTTGAGTCTCTAATATTCGGCTTGCTAGTGGTAGGGTAAGTAGAGGGTGGCAGGAGTTAAAGAAGAATAAAGAAGCGAAGACAAAGTTGTAAAAGAAGACTATTGGTGCCTTCTCGCTTAGCAAACGAGTTGCTCGAACAACCCCAGCATATTTTGGTGGAGAACTTGGGCAACGAACCCGGTTAACCTCTTCCATAGGTGGCTTAAGGTAACCGTCATCACTTTTTCAGTTTAATGATTGATGATCTCTAATTTCTTTTTCCAGGGCCAGCTCTACGGCTTCACTTCTGTGCAGCAGGAAATACCGAGACAGGAACTGGGGATGGAAAAACTAATGGAGAACGATTATATTTGTGGGAATGACACCGAGCAAGGTTTATCCAGGTGCCGTCTGGCTACTTTACTTCGAAATGATTCTGAAAAGGAAACTTTGACAAGAAGNACTCGTAGTCTAGGTCGAGGGTTGCTTTCTAATAAATTTCACTGGACCCCCTACACATAATTACATTTAATGCGATAATTGTCATGTCATAATTTACTTGCTCTTGTTCAGAACGAACAATAATCGCGTAATTGATCACAGGGTCCAGAGGAGTTTCGTGTGAATAAATGAATTACTTATTTAAAGTCTGACCTTGAAAAATGTCTATGCCTGTCGCTTAGCACGATTAATTAGCCCAATGGGATCTTTATAAATCTACTGTAAACGATTTCTTCGCTTCTTATCTGACCCAGATGGACTTTTGAAAATCAATAACCGCAAGCCATATCCTCGCTGGCGCACGGCACGTCGTCCGAAGGGTGACCGAAGGGCTACCGAGGCACGAAGTGCCTAAGCCGATCTTGCGAGCCCTCAGTCTGTTGGTTTGCGGTCTATAGAATGTGTAACGAAACTGTAACGCGATCAAAATAACCCATTTTTTCAGAGGTTTTCGACAGGTTTTGATGTTCTAACGACAAACACATCTCCTCTGGACCCTGTGAATTGATCAATCGATGTCAATTTCGATTTATCCAAATTCATAGTTGTCCCTGATGCCAAAATAAAAATACGTGATTATGTTGTGGTTCAATTTTATCCTTGGTCTAAATTTTATTTCCCTTTATTTCAAGCTTATTATCATACATTACCATATCCCAAAACAAAGGAGAATAAAATTTAGATCAAGGATAAAATTGAACCGCAACACATATATTTTATAATTTGAAGGTCCAGAGACGAAAAATTCAAATATTACTATAATGTTAAAACTGGCCTTGGCGAAACATCATCACTTACAAGACACAATAATGATACGCCTAACAGAATGATCAATAGTTGCCATTGCGGAACTTGGTTCGTCATTTATCTCTCTTGACTGGTTCTTCCCATAGCTATCTGCAAGTGAACAGAAATTTTGATACAAATAAGTTATTTCAGTAATTTCGCACTGTCAACTGCTTCGTGGATTTGACGATAGCTTTGATAGGTAAAAACGACTTGTTGCTTTTTTGCGGAATATAGATGTATATTTCAGACCAGTGACATTTCAGACATTTCACTGGAAAAATCCTGGCATCGCAATCTTCGATCTCTCACAAAACGGAGTAGAAAAAGTAGCTTTCGTCTTCATATGCTCGTTCTAGTTTATCCAGAAATGTTTAAAAAGGTCATTATTTTAAAAAATAAAATGAAGTTGAGAACACTTCTCCCTATTACCAGCAGAGGTCTCTCTGGGCGAGGAACACTTGAATCGCGAAAATTTAATGCGGCCCTTCTTTCCAATCGGAAATCGCGAAAAATAAATCCCCGAAATAATCGACAAGGTAATGTAATTCACAGAGACATGGACTATTTTACAAGTTCAGTTCAGCAAATAACAGTGGAAAAAAACGGCGGCATAATTACAGCCCGTACCCGTAGCCGTAAATACGGGCAGACTGCTTCTTTACTATATTTCTAATTTGCCTTTGTCGAAGGACTGGGTTTGTTTACCTCAGTCTCGATCTGCAAGTTGTATCAAAATGCTAATAACTGACCTTCCGGTCGATGAGACGTGTGACGTAATCTCGAGAGCGGAAAGACTTAAATTGGTGAAGAAAAACAAAAAATTCACTTCGTCTCATTTTTGTTCTTCGAGTAACCAATGATCATGCAGTTACTGAGGGTAAATTGAGGCTGCAGAATGCTGAAAATGTGATCGAATAATCCTTTTTGTTTTGCCAACGGCCGAGTAACACGCGATGTATCAAGAATAGCAGCCAATGAAATCCTTCCACGATGTTCGATCATTTAACCGGCTTCAGCTGATGCGAAAAGAACAGAGCGTGAAACCACGATGTAATAAGAAACTGTTATTCTCTCCTTTGTAATAACAGCAGAAGGTAATTTTTTCTTCATGTACAAGTTTTTCTCGATCAGTATATCAGCACCTTTGTGAAAGATATTTTCTTGATCCTGCGTGATTGCCCTCCACCAAGTGCATAGGAAATATTAGTCCAACCTCANTCCCCGAAATAATCGACAAGGTAATGTAATTCACAGAGACATGGACTATTTTACAAGTTCAGTTCAGCAAATAACAGTGGAAAAAAACGGCGGCATAATTACAGCCCGTACCCGTAGCCGTAAATACGGGCAGACTGCTTCTTTACTATATTTCTAATTTGCCTTTGTCGAAGGACTGGGTTTGTTTACCTCAGTCTCGATCTGCAAGTTGTATCAAAATGCTAATAACTGACCTTCCGGTCGATGAGACGTGTGACGTAATCTCGAGAGCGGAAAGACTTAAATTGGTGAAGAAAAACAAAAAATTCACTTCGTCTCATTTTTGTTCTTCGAGTAACCAATGATCATGCAGTTACTGAGGGTAAATTGAGGCTGCAGAATGCTGAAAATGTGATCGAATAATCCTTTTTGTTTTGCCAACGGCCGAGTAACACGCGATGTATCAAGAATAGCAGCCAATGAAATCCTTCCACGATGTTCGATCATTTAACCGGCTTCAGCTGATGCGAAAAGAACAGAGCGTGAAACCACGATGTAATAAGAAACTGTTATTCTCTCCTTTGTAATAACAGCAGAAGGTAATTTTTTCTTCATGTACAAGTTTTTCTCGATCAGTATATCAGCACCTTTGTGAAAGATATTTTCTTGATCCTGCGTGATTGCCCTCCACCAAGTGCATAGGAAATATTAGTCCAACCTCACTGAAAATCTCTCCGTGGTCCCCCCGCCTCTCAGGCTGCATCAAAGCTCCAGCTAAACTTGCTTTACAAACTTAATTACACTGCCCTGCTCCTAAGAGTCAATTCCACATACCTTGGTCGTGGTCACCATCAGAATGCAAACTATACTGAACCCTGAATCCTCCACTTTCCTTGACGAAACAAAGCGTGTCAGTGGCGTTTCACGGGTCAGACAAATCTAAGTAACAATGACATGAAAATTACCATGAGAAATTCGAGTGCAACTGTCGAATGTAAATCAGCACTTGTTTATAACTTACAAAAAAAAGACACGGGCAATAAGTAAGTGCACCAGGTTTTTTTGACAACAAACACCGTGACTCTTAAGCGCCGACGAGCTGTAACCATATCGAGGCCTTGATTGCATTAATTATTACGTATGGATATCGATGATTGGGGAATCCCCTGCCCACAGTAAAACGTGCACGCTACGTAATCGGTTACTCTCTCTCCAGTCCCCACCATCTGAGCTCCGCGCTCCAACTGTCTGAACACTGCAACAAGCTGTTAATCGGTTGATTAGCGTAAACCAAACCGGGTGGCACTATGTACTGTTCGGAATTGACTTCCAAATTCCTAAAGGCTTTGTAACAAATTGATTGTCTGTTTCATATATTTTAGCCGTTTTTACATGCTGAGTGGAAGACTAGGCACTTGTATTAAAGTGACATCAAGTTGTGGGGTCCTGCATGCAAGATCGTTTTAAAAAACGTCGTCTTTTTAAAAGCGGGTATTGCACAAAGTGCGTGCGAGACAAGTTTCGCGTATTTCGTTGAAACACCAGTATTTGTTTGCCTTCTTTGTGACAAGTTGCTTTTTCGATAACAATTAAAGCAAAACTATCTCAACGAATCTCGAGTCAAAACTCTTACAACAAAGTCACATGATTTCATGACGTAGCGCGTAACGCAACCCTAAATGTCTGTAAAAAGCTGCCGTAAACGTTTGTTGTCCTCATTGTGGCTTCAGCACAGGGAAATGATGTCATAGTTGAAAGCAAGTGGTCCCTCTGTCACGGCACTCACCCGTAACGCAATATTACGAAACGATGCCCAAATCAGTTCTTAAAGTTTTTGCGCAAAAAAACCCACTCATCTCTGGGAACTTACAATCATACTTTTTTCACTTACTATACATTAAGAAGTTCTGATTTCGAGATTCAAGCGCTGCATTATATAGAAGTCCCGCAAAGGTCGACGTCAAATGCGACCGTTTTCTCAATTTTCAATTCCGGTGGGGGTTATATCTGTAGCTATTTTAAGTGCATACGATTATCCAATCGAAAATGGGCAAAAAAAAATTGATTGATTTTTACCAATCAGCGATAAGAATAAAATCCCTTCCTAAAGGATGCGTTTCGTCATCTACCAAAAATAACAAGGCGCGTTGAGGGCATAAATTAATGGCTCACTAAAAAGTGTTTCTCAATTGAAAAAGTCCTTGGTTTGACGTACACCATCCATCAACAGTAAGATCTCCTATCGTAGTTACGTCTCGTGCGGGAAGCCCTCTTGCCTTTATAGGTATGTTGATATCGCGTCTACTTACATATACAATAACTAAACTGTTCGTAAAATATAAATGTCGGAACGTAAATTGGGCGAAATTAGAGAGATTAAGATTCACGTTTACGGCACACGGCAAACGGCAAACGTCAGTTGAGAATTTCTCAAAATAGAAAATAAGCAGATAAAAACAGTCCAGAACGATTCTTTTGGATAAAACTGGCATAAATT